CGTTCTCGCCCCTGGCAGGATGACCAGGAGGAAATCGAGCAGCACGAAGCGCCTCTCTCCCGCCCCCAGCACCCAAACCTCCTACTACAGCGAGTCCGTGATGAGCGAGTCCTACCTGGGGGGCAGCCGGGGCCTGGCCGCCCTGGGCAGCTCCATGCTGGATGATCCTCTGGACAGCGGCACCTACTGGGGTGAGCCCACCCTCCCCCCCATCTTCCCTGCTGTGGGGAGCTCCCTGGGCAGAGGGGGTGGGCTGGGCACAGGGGGTGGGATGGTTTTGGGGCAGCCCCAGCCTGGCTGACTGGGTTGCCCCCCTGCAGTGGTGGGTGGTTTCTCAAGGGGGGACTATGTTTTGGGGGCAGGTGGAGAGCTCTCCACCAGGAGGAGAAGAGGGACGGGGGACACCGAGTCCAGTAAGATTAATGGGCTGCTGGAGAGCAAGACGTACGACACCTACGCCTCCTCATCTGGGTACTCCTCAGAAGACGACTATGGCGGTAGGGATGCACCAGCCTCTCCATGGTGGTAGGGATGCTGGGGGAGCCCAGAGGGACCCGCTCAGGGCCTGGCTGTGCCCCGGATGCTCCCAGCCCCCATTTTGCATGCCACCCCCCATCCAAAGTCTTCACCCTCGATGACATGCGGAGATACAGGTTCTGCTTGGTGACTTACTGCCTTGCTTCTTCCTTTCCAGGTCACTTTTACTCAGGCCAGAGTAGCTCCAGGTCGGGGCTGAGGAGCGCAGCCTCCCGGGTGGGCTCCTTCCTCTGGCAGGTGCTCACCTCCCCGGGTGAGTGGAGGGCTGGTGGGGGTGGGGAAGGTTTCTAGCAGCACCCTTCTTCCCTGCCAGCGTCTCCACTCCTGTGTGGAGTCTGTGCTGTTCCCTGATCGGATGGAGGGTCTTTATCCCCCTGTGGAAGCATCCTCAGGGGCAGAGGGGATATCTCTGCCAGGACCCCACCTGAGGCTCGGTTTGTCTCCCGGCAGTTCAGTTCATGGGATGGCTGTTCTCGGGGCTGGCAGCTGCCTGGAACCGCCTCACCGGCACGGCTCCCCGCCTGAGCAGAGTTCCCCTCTCCAGGTGAGCGTGGTGGCAGGACACCGGGATGGGGGAGGCATGGGGAAAACCTGCAGGACCCCAGAGAGGGGGATGCCCCGAAGAGCCCAGCACGTGTGGGGTGTGGGCGTCCTGTGCCGAAGCCCAGCTGGGTTTTGCTTTCCCTCTGGCCCCCATCCAGAGGAGCGCTGTGGTGGGGTAAGGTGGCCGCAGTCCTACAGGAGCCTTTCTCCTCTGTGTTCCAGGCGCTACCCATGGGTGAAGAGGTCCCTGCTTCTGCTGCTGCTCCTCCTGCTCCTCACTGCTGCCGCCTACGGTGAGTTGGCCCGGCTCGGTCCGTTCTCCTGAGATGTGGGGCAGTGCGGAGCATCCCACTGCCATACCCAGGGGATGGGATGGCCCCGAGCTGAGTCCCTCTGGCTCCTGCTACCCTGGTTCATCTGCACCCCTGTGTTGGGGGCCTCCTGGTAACCCCAGGTGATGCTGGTGGCTGAACCTCTGCATGTCCACCCTGTGCCCTGCTGTGGCCCATTACCAGCCTGCTGTTTTAACCATCCCGTCTCCCTGCATGCCCAGGAGCTTGGTACTTCTACCCGTATGGGCTGTCGACACTCAGCCTCCCTGCCTTCCCGTGGTGGGGAGCTGGAAAGCTTTCCTCCTCTGACGTGCCTGCAGCAGGGGACCTGACCGCCCTGGACCAGGTAAGCCTCGGCAAAGGTGTGGTGGTGGCCTGGGTGGGTGACTTGCAGGGAGAGCCAGGACAGTATGGTCCATGGCTGAAGGAGCCCTTCCAGGGGAGGAGGAAGTGGTGGAAGAAGGGGCAGATGGTGGAAATGGCTTCTCCAGCTTGTGGCTATCTCGCTGTCCGGGTGTCCCGGGGTGGTGCAGGGGGAACATCTGCCCCGTCTTGAGAAGCAGCAGGTGAATAAGATGCCACTGACTCTGGGGACCGGGTGGTCTGGGTCCCCTTTCACAGGGGTCCCTGTGGAGCGGGCAGCCCACGGGGGGTCTGCACCTCCCCGGGGTGTCTGCATTGGATTCTGCCTTTGCTGCTACAGGGGGAGCACCGGCTCCTGGCTCGCTTCCAGGCCCTGGAGAAGCGCTTCAAGGCGCTGGAGGCCGAGGTGTCACAGTGGGAGCTGCGGCGGGGGGCGGCAGCGGTGTCAGCAGGGGGGGAGCCACCCCCGGGGGACGTCCTGGCACTGCTGGAGCAGCTGGTGAGCCGCCGGGACACAGGGCTGAGGGAGCATCTCCTCACCGACGTGACCAGCCACCTCCAGGTGAGGGGCGTGGGGGGAATGTGGGGAGATGGGGGGGCATGCAGGGCTGGGCTCTGATGTTCTCCCGTGTTCCTCACCCTGCAGGGTGAGCTGGATGCCCTGCGAGCCCAAGTGCAGAGGGATTTAGACGGGCGCCTGGGGAAGATGGCACAAGCTTCTCAGGTACGGGGATGAGTGTGTGGTGGTACCCAGGTGGGACATCCTCACCACCGGCATCACAGGTCTCACCACTTCCCCTTCTTCTGGCAGGAGGCGGAAGA